GCCATTGTTTGGGCATTGTACAGTAAGATGAGGCACACACACAGGAAGAGGCCCTGTCCTGACAATGTCTGTCTTTTAGACTGATGGAGTCTCCCTTGGTGTAGAGAGCTTCATAACTCTCACAGGTGTTACAAATATTTTGCAAGTATACAATATATCAATTTTAAAAATTAATATTTGGAGGGCTAGACGTTTGAACTTACAGGCCAGAAAATATGGTAGAAACCATGGATGTTAAATCAAGTACTTTTATTTTTAAGATAGAAAATATTTGAAAGGCAAGGAAATGGTATAAAGGAAGCAAGGGTTAGTTATAGAATATAGATGGAAATAATTGTTCAGTAGAAAAATAACTTGTCCAAATTTTGCTGCATCCAGACCCTGACAGAAACTCACAAAAGACAGCTCCTTACCCCACGGGAAATGGGATCATATCAGACTAGGGCTGGGCCAGGAGTCAGGAGACACAGTCAAGCCAGTTCCTTCTCCAGGATTCTCGAGAGTTCTGCCCTCGATGCCTCTGGATCTCTGCCTGGGGAACCGAGGCCGGAGATTTGGGGCAAGGGGTGAGGAGCCAACGCAGCTGCCTCTGTGATGACGGCGGGCCCGAGATGCCTCTCCCTGGCCCAGGCCCCGCCCCTCTCCCCAAGTGCTGGGGTCCAAGTCCGTGGGACACCACTTCTCTCTTTCGGTCCCCAAGTCCCCCACCCCAACCAAGGGCGACTCTTAGTTGCCAGAACCGGACGTTTCCGCCAGGGGGCGCGCCGTCGGTCGCCGCGTCCGCGTGCTGCAATGCCGGGCACCCGGCCGCTTCAGGAGCCCCAGCACCTTCCGTGGGGATACCCTCGGCCCTCCGGTCCCGGGCTGCGCTTGGGATTTCCCTCCCAACCTCAGGCCCTCGCCCGCCTCCTTCTGCCCACGGTCAACGCTCCCGCCTCGACGCCCTCCAGCAGTCGCCTTTCCCTTCCGCTGCGCACCGGAGCCTGGGGAACAGCGCAGTGCCTGCAGTGCCTCCCACCCTGCAGCTGGCCTCAGGTGTCCCCGACGTCGCACAGGGATGCCCCACTGTGACCTCGCCCCAGCCTCAGCGTGGCGGCTGTCTGACCAAGGCGCTCCTGCCGCCTCGTTGTGCCCCCCGCCCGGATTCCGCCCCTTCCCTCCCCCGCACGTCTGGGACGGGGACCGGGGGGACCGCGGCCTCAGTATCCCGCCCCCCGCCCCTGGTCCTTGGGCCGCCTTCCTCTTCCCGATGACCCAGTTCCCTCCCTCCGGCCCTGTGGCGGCTGACTGTTCGGGTCGATGAGCCGCTCCCCCCACCCCAGCCTCGCTCGGCCCCAACGCAGCCCTCCCCTTTCCCTGCACCCAGGAATCTGAAGAAGAGCGCCCCCTCCCGGCTTCCCGCCGCTGCCCCTTGGAAGCTTCCCGAACGCCGCACGCACCGCTTGCTCCTTCCAGGGAACCTTCTCCTTCCCCCAGGGTGACCCCCAGCAGCATGCGTCACCTAACGCGGCCCCCTCGGGCCCTCCCGCGGGGCGGCCTCGCTTTCTCTCTGCTCCCTGTTCTTTGGGATGGAGGGTAGTCCTACTGGGCGCCCCTGCTCCTAGGTACCCCCCAGGACATGTGTCTGCCACCGTGGATCCCCTCTCTTAGATGCAAGGACCCTGTGGCTGATACTTCCTCCGCTCTGGTTCCTTATACCCTGCCTGACCTGATTATTTTTCTGGCCAGGCCAAATGGGTTGCTGGATCCCCATCCTGCAGCCCTCCCCCATCACAGCAGGCTGCGGGGTGAGGGGAGGTGCGGTAGGGTGGGGTGCGGGAGGGCAGGCAATGATCTTCACCCAGCTTCCGAGGTCACACAGGCCAATGGGACAGCTCTCCCTTCTTGGCCCAAACTGGAAAGGCTTAGAACTCCTTCATTCCAACATGTTCCTTTTTTCCGGGCTTGAATTTTTAAGCCTTTTAACAATAAATGGATGACTTTGTCCACATTTAAAGGAATTTCAGGAATTATGTTGACTATATCATTTTTCATCTCTGCAAGGTCCCTCACTTTATTCCCTTTTATCTCCATACACCACTCCCACTGGCCTGTCCCTAGTCTTGTCCGTTCTGTTGTTTTTGTTTTTATCTGTTCTTGCCAAAAAAAAAAAAAAAATGTCGTGCTTCTGGCATGCATTTAAAATTTGTGTAAAAGGAATTCTTTGATTTCTTGTTCCGGTTTTCAATAAATGCTAAGATTTTGAGATTGACTCGTGTAGCTTCTGCCCCTTCTAAGGGCTGCCTCCTCTCCACAGGTTCTACCTTCCCCATCTCCTGCCTTCACCGATAACAGTGGATAATCATGCCCAAACATAGCCCCTCTCATGCAGTGCTTCCCAAACACCAGTGGGCACATATATCACCTAAGGATCTTGTTAAAGTGCAAGCTCTGACTCAGCAGGTCTGGGGCTGGGCCTGGGACTTTGAATTTCTAATCAGCTGCCAGGGGATGCCTATATTGCTAGTCCTGGCAGGGCACTGTGAGGAGCAAGGCCCTATGGACCTCTGTGAGAACTCCTTGTGTGTTGCTGCACGGTAGGTGTGTGTTGATCTAATTTGATAAGTAGCGCAGGTCTGCCCTCCAGTCTGGCACCACCTTAGCGCACTCCAGCAGGGCAGGAGAATGGAAGATGTATATTTATGTGGGGAAGGGAAGAGGGCCTTCTCCTTGCTCCTGCCTGCTTTCCGGCCCCTACTGCTTCTGAGAGAGCACGGCCAAAACCTCCTCTCTCCCTTAATTGCAATGGCAGCAAAGCTCTAGAATGATGTCCCCAGCCGGCAATGCATGACCAAGTAAATGATGTGTTGAGGCCAGGCATCCTGGTCTCCATCCCCACTGCATAGGACCCGGAGGCCTTAGCCGGCCAGACATCTAGGCTGGTTTCACTCTGGCCTCCCTAGGCCTGGGGTTTGTCTTTGACAGGAGCTCTTGAGAATAGGCACTGAGAAGCCATGGGGTCCTCAGTCAGGTTGCTGTATTTCCCCCATCACTTTCCCTTCAGTAGCCTGTAAGTGTGTACTGGGAGTCAAACGGCCTGGCCTTGCCACTGGTGATGACCATCCCGACCCTGACTTCTCAAAATGGAGTAGTCACAGCATAGCTATCATCTGCGGTGCTAGGAGCTGGTCTGGGTGCTTCACCTGCACTCCAGCAGCCCCACCAGAGCCGGAAGACAGGTGTGTTTGCTTTTGTGTAACATACGAGGAAAATGAAGTTGAGGAAAGTTTAGCAATTTCCACCAAGGCTATGGAGCTAGAAATTGACAGTGCTGGGATTCCAATCCAGCCTCAGCTAACCCAAAGCCCGTGCTGACCACAAAGCTATACCACCCCATGTCCTACCTTGCCTTGCTACCAGGCTGTATCCAGCTAAAACTACAAAGGAACAGGAAGGACTGGCCCTTGGGTTTCAGGCACTGATGCTGAAGGCATCTAGACTGTGACATATAGGGTTACGAAGCTCTATAGCAAATGGGTTTTGGCAAAAAGGAACCAGGACTCTAGGGGCTGGTCCTCAAGGCCTGAGTATTTAGGTGACAGGAGAGGGGGACCTTGGGTCTAGGGCCTCAAGAGCTAGGATTTTAGGATTGGATATAAAGTGGAGGTCAGGACTGGATGGGAGTTGGGGAGGCTCAGGAATTGGGTGGGTGTCTATCATGTACCATACTTGGTAATAACTGGTCACTCAATATTTTGTTTGGGGGGGTCAGCAGATGTGCCAATGGCCAGCATCCAGGGCATCAAGGGATGCCACCTTTCAAAGCCCTCCTGGTGCTGTGAGCTGCTTGCTGGATCAGTTTTGGAAATCCCTGGGCTAAGCTTTCCCTACTCACACAGCTGTGCAAACACTTCCTGGCACCAAGCCCCAGCCCCAAGCATTTCACAATCAGAAGAGTTCAACATCTGCACATTTTGAGATTTCATGGCACATGACCTTTTACATCTTGTTCTCACCCATCCATCTTCTGTTTACCATTTTATGGCCAAAATTCTACCCATGACAGAGCATTTCCCTGCAATCTTAGGGAAGCTTCCTGCTCTTTCAGTGGCCTTTGGGGTAAAAAGATCTTTTGAGCCTACAGAATGTTCTTAGAGCTCAAAGCAACATCTTACAGTTTCTTGGTGTTTACAAAGTACTGCACAAATAGGTATTGCCTCTGACTCACAGCAACCCCATGACAGGGCTGGGACATACTTAACACTGAGGCTCAAAAGAGTTAATTGGCCAAAGCCACACCTTGTGTAGGTGGGCGAAATGGGGTTCTTGTTCTTTTCTCCCTAACAGACCTTGGAATTCTCAAATAGTGAGTAGTTTCTTTCTGGGAAACTCACCACCCTGGTCCACCCATTTCCCAGAGTTGGGGATGTGGACTGAGGCAGGAGGCTGAAAATCTAGGGACTGGGGGTGCCTGGGCTGAAAGGTCTGGAAGGTGAGTTGAGGTCTCGGGGGGCTCTGGCCAGCCCTCTCCTAGCTAGGTTTCTGTCAGTGCAGCCCTTGCTAAGGCCCGTGGTTCTCCTGCAAGTGGAAGGAGGAGATCAGTGGGAGGAATGGCAAGTCCGGGCCCCCAGGTAGAAGTTCTCCATGAGCCTGAAGCTGAGACAGCCAAACAGATGTGAGAAAAAGATGTTGCCAGGTGCTAAAGAGGCCCCGGTGGTGTCACCACAACCACGTGGGTGCTCTCGGTGGTTTGGCCAAGCTCTGTTCCTGGCTAAGCCATCTGTCCTACCTCCTCTTCTCAAATCCCTTGGTCCTGCACACCAGGTACCCACAGCATCGGCTTGAGGAAGGTGCCCAGAAGTCAGGCCAGACTACCTGCCGCCTCCAGCAATACCACACATGTCCCAAACCATGCCAGGGACTCGGGGTCTGGGGCCTACTGAAGGCCCTGGTCCCACTGCCTTCACTCTCCCTGGGGCCTCAGGCTCTAGGCCAGGGCTCAACAGACACAGGCAGCGGTATGGGGTTGCCCTTCTATTGGTCCAAGTCCTGAGCGTAGCCTGGGTGGGTCATGGAGGTGAGGAGGCCCACGAGGCTCAGCAGCGTGGAGAAAAGCAGCAGGAAGGAGGCTGCCAAGAGCAGAGCAGGCAGGGCACTCAGTACCAGCAGCAGGACAGCTGGCAGCAGGTGGCGCCACACCGCGGCCACGACGGGCCACAAGGAGGTCAGCAGGTGGGAACCGGTGGTGAAGAGTGCATGGCACAGCATCAGTGCCAGCAGCAGGTAGAGTATCCCCTCCAGAGCCCACAGCACACGCTGCAGTGGTTGCCGCCAGCTCGATGTGCTCCACCACTGGGCCCAGCTCCGGGGCACGTGGGACACCCACCAGCGTGCCAAGCCCTGCCGCGTGACCCAGGCTGACCAGGGCACCTCCTGCTGAGGCCCCTCGCCGGCTCCAGTGGTGTCTGTCTCCATGCGTGGCTGCTGCATCACGGCTGGTGTACCTGGGGAGAGGGCCAGGCCAGCTGCAGAAGCAGCCCTGGAGATGCCTGGGACCACAGGGCAGGTGGGGGTGTGAGGGTCAGGAGGGCACCAGTGTGGGTGGGGTGGGGCTTTGAGCTGGGGCTTGGGACTTACCTCGGGGCAGAGCCACCTAAGTCATGTTGCTTCTTGCAGCGCCCAGGATGGCCTGGCAGCCAGATCCGAGCCCCCACTCTCCCCTACCTCTGCCCTCCCCAGAGGAGCCCCATTGTGACCCGGGCTGGGGTGGGGTCCAGCCAAGAAAGGAGCCACTGCGGGGTCTGAGGCTCATCTGAGTCCCTCTCCATGGACCCTCCAGGCTGGCAGGTGAGCCTGGCCAGCCCAAAAATGTAGTTTCTCCTGTTTACTTGTGAGAAGCCCTCCCTGAATCCCTGGCCCTTCCCTGCTGGCTGATATTCAGCCCCTTCCCCTAACTCTCTTTCAAGTACTTCTCTCTGGACTCTCACTCTCTAGAACCACAGAGGAGGCCAGAATGGCTTTCCCCAACCCACAGGCCCTGGGATGGCCACCCATCCTGTCCCGGCTCCCTGCCTCATATCCTGCCATCTCATGCTGCCCTGCGGCTCAGACCCAGGTATCCGTTGCCCATATTATGAGGCCAGAGGTTGCCGAAGGCTCAGGCTGGGAATAGAAGGATATCTTCCTACCTGTCTAGCCCAGGATGGAGGAAAGGAGGCCTGAGGAAGCACAATGGCCAGTGTATTTTTGGAGGGCACTCAGTGTTTCAGGAGGGGCCCTAAGGCCCAAGGATGGAGGCAGAAAGCCAGGCCAAGCAGGGCCAAGGGCATGCCATGGGCTTGCAGCAGCAGCCCCAGTCCCATGAGCAGCAGCAGCAGAGCATCCTGGAAGCTGAGTTGTCCTGTGAGCACCCCTGTCGGCAGGAGTAGATCCTACCGCTGTCCTGGACCCTCACCGGCTGCCGGACTCTGGCCCCTTCTGAGAAGTCTGTGCTGTAGCAGGGTGGGACCTGTGGACCTGCGGAGAGAGAGGGTGGCAGCTGGGCGTACAGAAGTTGACCACTTGCCCACCTGCCCACAATGCCTACCTGCCGGGTTGCTGCCCACCTACCTGTGGAGCAGGTCAAAGGCAAGGAAGCTGACCAGTAGCAGCAGCAGCAGCAGGGCTGGGCCAGCCATAGAAAAGACTGCCTGAATTGTCAGCCCTAGTGCCCCCAGCCCTAGGACACTGTCCAGGACCTGGGCCCAGCTAGGGTCCCCGGGGGACACACATGGATGCACTTGACTAGCCGACCCCTCCCCAGCACCCTGGCCCCTGGAAAGGATTTGGATGGGATCTACAAGGCCTTTGGGCCTGAGTAAGCAGAGCCGGGTCATGGAGGGAGGTGGATGACAGGAAGAGCTAGTGCTGGAAGGGACAACAAAGGGGTGTGGGTGGGGTGTGGGAGGGGGTGAGACCCTTGCAGACTCTCAAGGATGAGTTCAGAGAGTGGGAATTGGTCTGCTTGGGAATCTCCCCCACCCCACACACCCACCCACCAAACCCTCCTCACCTCCTCCCACTTCGGTCTGGGACTGGGCAGCTGGAGCATTGTGACCTGTTGCCAGGTGAGGCCTTGGGGAAGGGAGGGGGCTGCTGATAATCTGGCCTCATAAGCAGCTGGTGGCCTAGGTGGGTGAGTATATAGGGAAAAACAAACCAAAGTGTTTTAACATACTCTTACTCAGCAACAATCAAAGCAGAAAACTTCTGTGACCAAATGTATATAGGCTTTCCCCAGCATATCAGGCAATCAATTCTGCAGCAAACACCAGCTGGTTGTCCTCTAACTCTGGTGATAGCATCAGATCCCACAAGTTAAGGGCTCAGTCCCCAAGACTGCCCCCACTTCAGATGCCAGTCGCAAGTCCAGGACCCTGGAACTTCTGACCGACCAACTGTAAATCAAGTTTCCTACAAGCCCCCCCTCGGGTTTGATTGATTTGCTTGAGAAGCTTACAGAACTCAGGGAAAAACATACCTATAATTACCTATTTATTAAAAAGGATACAAATGAAGAAATGTATAAGGCCAGGTATGGGGGAAGGGGTGCAAAGCTTCCATGCCCTTCCCGTGTGTGCCACCCTCCAGGACCCTCCATGTGTCAGCTATCAGGGAGCTCTCCGAACCCAGTCCTTTTGGGATTTTATGGAAACTTCATTATATTGGCATGATTGACCAAATCATTGGCCGTTGATGATCAATTTCACCTTCAGCACTTTCCCCTCCCCAAGGTGGGGCTGAAAATCCCAACCCTTTAATCCTGCCTTGGTCTTTCCTATAACAAGCCCCCATTCCTGAAGCTACTTAGGGGCTGCCAGCCATCAGTCAACTCGTTAGCATATAAAAAAAAAATCATCACTTTAGAGATTCTAAGGATTTTAGAAGTCATGTGCTAGGAAAGGGACATAACAAGCCCCCATTCCTGAAGCTACTTAGGGGCTGCCAGCCATCAGTCAACTCGTTAGCATATAAAAAAAAATCATCACTTTAGAGATTCTAAGGATTTTAGAAGTCATGTGCTAGGAAAGGGACAGGGAAGAATACCAAATATATATTTCACAGTATCACAGTGGGGCTTAGCCAGGAAGTCAGCGATTTCTGAGAACTAAGACTCACCCTCTTGCCTTTGCTAATTCTCTGCCCTAGGGCTCTCCCTTGGGGATCTGAGTTGTCAGGAAGGCATTCTAACCCCATCACTACTTGGGCATCTGTCCAAGGGACAAAGGGCTGCTTTCTTCTTCCCAGAGTTGCGTGTCCAGGGACAAGTCATTCAGTATCTCTGTCCCCAGCTCTTCCTCTCTGAGAGTGGGATGATGCTTGTGGGCTCTCATGGGGGATTTTGCAGGACTGCAGCCCTAGAACACAGAAACAGGCTCTGCCAGGAAGCAACCAGATGCTTTCTGGCACTGGGCTCCCATGTGAGTTGCTAAATGGGGGTGGGGACAGGAGGGGGCCATTTAGGTGTTCTAAGGACTACTGTTTGTGTGAAGTGTTACAGATACTGCGGTTTAGAAATGGGGAAGAGCATGTGAACCTAAGAGGGCTATGAAATAGTAAGTCTAATTAGAGTAACCTTAATTAGGGGTTAAGGCAACTTTCTGAGAATGCTGTTAAGAAAAATGAACATGTAATAAAGGGATTGGTCTCTAGGGCCAGCCCATGGCTCACTTGGAGAGTGTGGTGCTGACAACACCAAGACAAGGGTTAAGATCCCCTTACCGGTCATCTTTTTTTTTTTAAAAAAGGGATTGGTCTCTAGGGCCAGCCCATGGCTCACTTGGAGAGTGTGGTGCTGACAACACCAAGACAAGGGTTAAGATCCCCTTACCGGTCATCTTTTTTTTTTTAAAAAAGGGATTGGTCTCCTGGAAAAGAAACCTGTCCCCAGTGATAATCTGTAAGTGGGTGGCTACAGAGGTTCCAGCACATCTCAGTTTAGTGACTTGAGAGGCAAGAGTGGAAATGAGTCAGAATTAGGAGAACTTAATCCTTGTCCCCATATACTTTGAAGGAAAACTAATGGGGTTGAGGGCAGGGGAGATAGCCCCTAGGAGAGGAGGAGATAGAATAAGAATCAGGCTCTACTTTTAGGAATTATGACCCAGCATCTGGCACATAGGAAGCACTTAATAAACGATTGTTGAATGAAAAATAAACTAAGGAAATCACAACTAGAACTCTCCTATAAATGTACACAGAATTATCTGGTGCATAGTAAATCTTAAAGAATGTTAGTCACTCCTAAGAGCGTTATAAAAAGAAAAAAGATCACATACATAGGACCAGAAGTTGAAATGGTATCAGACTTTTGAACACCAACACTGGTAGCTAGAAAACAATAAAACAATGTTCTCAAAATTCTGAGGGAAAATGATTTTCAGCCTAGAAATGCGTATCTGTCCAAATGATTATCAAGTGTGAGGGTAGAATAATCACATTTTCAACCTTATGTTGGGGCCCAGACAGTGACACCCCAAAATGAAGACCTCAAAAGCAAAATTTTCCTGTGACCATCTCCTGCCCTCCTGTCTCTCAGCCCCATTCTCCCCTAAGGCAAGCCATAGAAACTAGAATCCCTCTTTGCAAGACCAGTCATAGATATACTCTAATCTTTTCCCCTGCCTTTCTGTCTTGCAGCTGGCCACAAAGAATTTCCCTAGCCTATCTTGTCTGGTTGTAGGTCATAAGACCCCATTCTAGAAAGGGTCCTGTCTCATACCCTGGAGGAATGAATGTTACACAGAGAGACCAAGAAGAATCTGAACAGACAGGGCTTGCTGAGTTTCTGCACTCAGTGTATTAGCATTAGATCATAGTTTTCCTGTCCAATCACATTTCTACATGGCTATGCCTGTTTCATAGAACTTAAGAATAAACACGGGTAATTTTCCCTATATTTTTGTGTCTTCATTGAGAAGGTTCCTGTGTCACATAAAACTCTGATATAATAAAATTTGTTATGGCTTTTCTTCATATTAATCTGTGTTTATCAGGTGATTTTTCAGAGAACCTTCAGGAAGTTGAAAGGGATGTCTCCTCTTGGCCCCTGCACATATAAGGTCTCAAAAATTTGACCTTGCACACATCCTTTCTTAGGAAGCTACTGGATGATGTGTTTCAGCAAAATGAAGAATTAAACTAAGAAAGAGGACAATATGGTGTTCAAGAAATGAGACTGAACATAGCAAAGAGACAAAGAGAAAGGCCTGGAATGTCAGTTGTGCCGCCAGATGAAGGAAGCAAGCAACCCATCCTGAAACCAGAAGACAGGTGCTCCAGGAGGGATGTCCCTGGAAGAAAACAAAATCAGTTGATTATAGCTGTGTTTAAATATATTCAGAGTAAATATTCAGTTCTGTTGGAAACTTTGAGATTGAATTAGCAATCGTTGCCTAGAAAACCAAGCAAATGATAAAATAAAGTAATTGCCAACTCCATGGAGCACAGAAAGTTGAAAAATAATATTTCCATGGTCATAATAAAAGCACTAAATATTAACTTCAAATGGCAATTTAGCTTTACTGGGAGGATGGGAGGAGGGGAAGTGTATGTTTGTGTATCTGGATGTATGTATGTGGAGGAGGGTGGTAGAAAAGCTAAATTCTCAATTCCATAGCAGGAAATCCACAGGTAACATCTAAGCAGAAAAAGCAAGCAATAGCAATAGAAGCTTGAAGATAAATACAAGGAGAAATAATAAAAAGAACTAAAAGTGGGAATGGAGAGGCATAGAGCAGAGGCTACTATGTGCCTGAATGTGATTTACCTGTAAAACTATATTGTGTGGTATTTTGATAAAAATGATTTAGTTACAAAAAGCAAATAAAAATAAGGTCACACTCTGATCAGGAATACGCCCTCTCAGGATGAATGAAAGACCAATTTCTTAATGTTATGTAGATATCATCTTGTGTCTTAAGATAAAATCTCCAGTGACAGCATCAAACTCAGAAAGTTGTGAATCTCATGCATTTTAGATGGAGGTGATCTAAACCTCCATATAGTGCTTCACAGCCGTTAATGTGTATATGAATCTCCTGGGGTTGAATCCTGATTCAGTAGGTCTGGGGCAGATATTCTGCATTTCTTTTTTTTTTTGTCTTTTGTCTTTTTTCCGTGTCCGGCAACGGATCGCAACCCTCAGTGTTGCCCCCGCACCGGTCCGGGGACCGGCAACGGGATCGCAACCCTCGGTGTTGCTA